AGATCAGAGACAAGAGACTGGAGGGAAAACAAAGGCTCAAAACCCCCCAAAGCCACTTGATTGCCAGTGGAGAATCTGCAGGCAAAGCCAAAGCCTCCAGCGCCCTGAACCTGACATCTGCAACTGGGCCTCCTGTGCCCTGCCTTCAAGTCTCAACTTTGAACTTTTGTAACTTGAGGGGATGGTGGGCTGGGAGATGGAGGAGAATGACAAAAAGGGTGACATTGATCAAGAGGAACTGTACTTGGAAACTGACATGTTGAAATGAAACCCCTTTTACAACTACTTACAAGATAATTTTAAAACTTTTTTTTAAAAGCTTGAACTTCCCAGCTTAAAGTTCCACCCCCCAAAAGGACTTCCTTTTCTACAAATGTTCTTGAGCTGAGGCCAACCTCTACTAGGCTCAAATTAGAGGAAGAGCACAGAGAAAACACTCTGGAAAGATCTGCAGCACACTAGAGTATGGGTGGCTTCACACTTATGAGAAGTAAACAACAGATCCCAGGGCCCTTCCTTAACTCAACAAGGCTCAGTAAACTTTCACTTGTAAAGGGCCAGACAGAAAACTTTACCAACATACACAACTGAAACTTCACATGGATCATTTAAAAACACAAGTGAAAACCAATTTCCACAGTCCTTTTATTGATGAACTCCAAAACATAATGAATACAATTTATTTTTTATAACGTATCTGCCAACGTGACCAGTTATGAGGGGGGAAGAGGTAACAGTTTTCTTAAGTGGGATTTAAAGTTAGGCAGTTCAGCGGTGCTTTGGTGACTGACCTTGTGTTATCCTTATGGCCACCAGTGGACCCCAGGAATCTGGTCCCCAGGTCTCAGGGCTCTAATGGACGACACAACCCTGGTAGTCAGTCTATACTATCTACATCTCTGGTTCTCATCAGGAGAGCCCAGCTCCACTGTACACCAGAGGCTCAACCTTGCCAGGCCCTGGCTGATTCACCCCCAGCAGGAACCGGTGGCACTCACTGCTTGGCCTCTCCTGGAGGAGGTGTTGGGGATTATGTGAGATGACCCAGGAGGTGTTATTAGTAATACTATGTCCCAGATATAAGAGACATGCCAGTTCTGCCAGTGTTCTGGCTGCAGAGGAAACAAACAAACAGAAAACGCATTACGTCAAAACTTCACAAATCCTAGCCCAAGAGTGGTTCCTGTTTGTCCCGTTACCTAAAAATGTGACACCCCACAATAAACCCAAAGGGCCAGATTCATTTCTGCCTACTGAGCTCAGAGGACAGCTTCCCCCCAAACACCAACTCCACAGTGCCAGTGGTTCCACACACACCAGGAGGCCATCCAGGCTTTCCTTGGTCGCTGTGGATAACAGGGAATTCTTTCTCAAGAGGGGACATTACCCCAACGGGGTGGGCTGAGGTGGGGAGCTCAGCCATGATTACTGAAGCAGGTGCATTAGGAAAGGCCAAGAGCTAAGACGGAGTTTGCACAGGGGTTCTGCCACTTCCTGGTCATGCCCTCAACCCTTCCCTGTCTCAATTTCCTGTGATGTCACAAGTGCTGTTGTTGTGTGGCGAAAATGTTAAGTGATGCAACCCACTCAGCCAGGAAGGGGCCCAGTTAGCCTCCCGGCACCCGGTATCATCCTGAGAAGTCAAATACTGAGCACCCACCGGGTCTGGATCAAACCAGTTTTGTCCCAAACTGATTAAACAGGATTACTGTCTCCAGTTTACAGGAAAGTTTTTTTTTTTTTAAGAAAAAAAAGCCCCTGCCAGGTTAAGTTAACTTAACCTATTCCAGGTGGCAAAGGCAGGCAGTACCCTACTACCAGTGGGTAACAGGGCCTCAACACCCAGGCCTCTGTGGTTCTTGAGCCCCCCCCCCATCTCCCAGAACCAAAACTACACAGCAGAGGCAACAAACTTTGGACAAGTCCTGAAAGAGCCCTGGCACAGTTGGCCTGTGCTTGACATCCTCAGGCCACTTGACCTCAACCAGGCACCGGGTCCACCTGGTGAAGGTGGCTCAGTGGTAGAGTGCTTGCCTTGCATGCATGAGGCCCTGGGTTCAATTCCTCAGCACCACATAAGCAGAAAAAGCCAGAAGTGACGCTGTGGCTCAAGTGGTAGAGCACTCGCCTTGAGCTGAAGAGCTGAGGGACAGCGCCCAGGCCCACAGTTCAGGTCCCAGGAAGAGCAAAAAAAAGAAAGAAAGAAAAGAAACCATGGATACGTAGCGCAAAGGTCAGAGTCCGAGCTGGCTTTCACCAGGGCACAGACCTGCACCGCACCCCAGTCCTTAGTCCTGGAGAAGAGGCCTGAAGAGCCAAGAACCCGCCGATCTGAAGTGGACAGGCGCAGGGGGCCCTCGGCTGCGCTCGCGGCGGCTCCCCAAGCCCGCGGGTGCCACGACACCCACCGGGCCCCACCTACCTTCGGGGAGCGCCCGGCCCCGGAGGGCGTTTCCCCCGGCGCGACACGGCCGCTCGGCCCTCCCGGGCAGACACCGAGGTCCTCGGCTGGGCCAGGGCCTCAGGTCCCGCTCCAGCCCCGCCCGCTGGCCAGGAGGAACCCGGGGAGGCCTCACGCTCCATTTCCCCCTCGCCCCGCCACTTCCGCCGGGATCGGCCTCCGGGCTGCGTCCCGAGCCGGGTACCGGCGGAGGAACCAGGAGCAGGGCGCGGGGGAGCTTGGTGGAGACCCTCACCGCGGCGGGGGCACCGGTGTGGGCCCCTGGCCGCCCCCAAACCACAGGCCGTCGGGGCCGTGGCGCAGACTCGGCTCCCCCCCACCCACAGCGCCGGCGGCCGCGGTGACAAAATGGCAGC